CGAGGGCCTTGCTGCCCACGTCGAGGCTCTCGAACGCCCTCCGCGCCGCCTCCGCCCGACCGCCGCCTGCGGGCCCCGCCGCGGCGGTCTGGGGCTCGGAGGTCTGGGGCCAGCAGCGCCCACATTGGGGGGAGCGCCTTCTGAGAAGGCGGCGGGGCTTCAGGGAAGGCAGGGGGGCTCCGTAGGAGCCCGCCCCGGGGCCGTCAAGCAGCGACCCAGGACGAACAGCCGGTCCTCCTCCCCCTCCTCCTCCTCCTGCTCCTGCTCCTGCTCCTGCTTCTCCTCCTCCGAGCCTCCTCCTCCTCCTCCTCCTCCTCCTCTTCTTCCTCCTCCTCCGCCTCCTCCTCCTCCTCCGCCTCCTCCTCCTCCTTCGCCTGCGGGGGCCCCCGGCGCGGGCGTTCCACCCAGAAGCCCTCGCTTCGTCACAGCATCGCGGCGGGAGGTCTGGGGGCATTCTCGGCCTCGGGGGGCCCTCGCAGGGCCCACGGGACGTCGCAAAGCGACTCGGGATGGAAAGCGGGTCCCCAGCAAGGAGCCCAGACGTGGGGGCGTAGCCGCGCCGCGAATTCAGACACATTTGAGCGCCGCCAGCGGCTTGGAATCGGCCAACGTGGACGCGGCGGCGAACCTCGCCCGCGCGTTCAAAACGCCCACGCCAGGGGCCTCCTCCTCCCATCGGGCAGTGCCAAGGGGGTCACAACTTGGGGGGATCCTCCAGTTCCTCCTGGAAATCGAGGTTCCAGGATCCAAGCTCGAGGAAGGTTTTGGACGTCGGGGATCGTTCCGAAAGGCTCCAGAGTGTTCTTGGCAGTTTCGGCGCAGACCCAAGAAATCCGCGCGGACATCCAAAGTTGTTGCTTGTGCAGTTGATTATTCTTCTTATGTCCCAAGAGGGTTCTGGCTCGACCACAAGAGAGCCCGAGACGCTCCAAGATGACGCACAGAGAGCCCCAAGAGGCCGCAAGCGGCGCGCCCCGTCCAAACCAGGCAAGAGTCCGCGGACCCCCTAGGTCTCGGCCCTTCGGGAGATTCCGCACTTGCCAGCGAAATACTTGCCAGCGAAATGATGATGAACCCGATCGCCAGTAGCATTATGTAGCTTTTTTTTGTTTACATACCTTGCATGTGATGCCCGGTGCCTTGGCGTCCTTTCTGCAGCCTTCGGCCGGATACGTTCCAAGCGAGGTCCGTATCATTCGCTGGCTGGTTGTCTTCCCTCCTTCCGCCTGCTCCTCCTCCTGCTGCCGCGCACGTTGTGTTTTATGCGACCGCCGTAGTGCCGCCGCTCCCACAAAGCGGTAAGAATCGGCTGGCCTTGTCTTCTTTCGCCCACGCGCTCCGGCGTATGGCATGAGTGAGTGCGTGAGTGAGTCACGGGAGTTGGCGCAGGATGGAAGGGGGTCCTTCACCTCGTCATCCTCCTCCGCCTTGACATCCGCCGGTGGATGCACCGCGCCGCCACGGACCATCTCGGCACGTAGTCGCATGCTGCTTACAGGAGTTGTTGATGCATGTACGCTCCCTCTTCTCCTCCGCCTCCTCCCGCCGCTTCCTCCTCCTCCTCCTCCTCCTCCTCCTCCTCCTCCTCCTCCTCCCTCCTCCTCCTCCTCCTCCTCCTCCTCCTCCTCCTCCTCCTCCTCCTCCTCCTCTCCTCCTCCTCCCTCCTCCTCCTCCTCCTCCTCCTCCGCTCCTCCTCCTCCTCCTCCTCCTCCTCCTCCTCCTCCTCCTCCTCCTCCCTCCTCGTCCTTCTACGAGCTAAAGGACTGCAGTCACGGCGCGCGCCTCCGCCCGCAGGACCTGCCCGCTGGCGGCTACCTCGGCGGCCACCTGGCCCTGGACGCCGACACGCTCTGCGCCGAGGACCAGCGCATCCGGAGCTTTGACGAGTGCAAGGCCGCGCGCGCGGCCCTCTTCGGGCGGGGCCGGGGCATCCCGCAGTTGTGGATAAGAGCGAGGAGGCGGGCGCGGGGTGCGTCGCGTGTGGGTCGCGGGGCGGGTCGCGGCGGGTTCGCGGGGGGGCCGGCGACAAAAACGCAAGGCAAGAACAACAACAAGAATCCGCACCGCGGAACCCCTTCTTCAGCCACGCACCCGGGCACAGTGAATGACTGTTCGCCCCACTCGCTCTGACGTTGAATCTTCCGAGGACATCGCCTGTCCCCCAAATTAGCGTCCTCTCTTTTGCCCTACGCGGGCTCGATGCGGACTCGACGCAGGTTTGAGCTAGGACTCGACGTGGATTCCACGTGGATTCGGCGCGGACTTAATGAGTCCGGTTTGGATTCGACACGGACTCGACGCGGACAGGGGCGCGACGGGACAGACCAGGCCCCCCAAATATTCAATATAAAGTCGCCCTAGAGCGTTCTGCAACGCTCTCAGTGCGCTCTGGAGCGCTCTGGAACGGCCGCGGCGCCCGATGCGTCCTCCAGAGCCGCTAGATCTCAGAGATTCCCGAGGTTGTCCCGGTCCGAGGTTGTCCCCGCCTGGCCTGGTCCTGCGGCGCCCGATGCGTCCTCCAGAGCGGCTAGGTCTCAAGGATTCCCGAGTTGTCCTGGTCCGAGGTTGTCCCTGCCTGGCCTCGCCTTGTTGGTGTCGGGGAGCACGCCTCCCGTCCCCGCCCTCGGGCTCACCGTCGGTGGAGGGTTTCTCCGAAGGGCTTAGGCGACCCGTCCTCCTCCTCCTCCTCCTCCTCCTCCTCCTCCTCCTCCTCCTCCCCTCTGCCTCCTCCTCCTCCTCCTCCTCCTCCTCCTCCTCCTCCTCCTCCTCCTCCTCCTCCTCCTCCTCCTCCTCCCTCCTCCTTCCTCCTCCTCCTCCTCCTCCCTCCTCCCCCCCCTCCCCTCCCTCCTCCCTCCCCCCTCCCCCCCCCCCCTCCTCCCTCCTCCCTCCTCCGTCCTCCCTCCTCCCTCCTCCCTCCCTCCCTCCTCCCTCCTCCCTCCTCCCTCCTCCCTCCTCCCCTCCTCCTCCTCCTCCTCCTCCTCCTCCTCCTCCTCCTCCTCCTCCTCCTCCCTCTCCTCCTCCTCCTCCTCCTCCTCCTCCTCCTCCTCGGGTCGCCTACGGCCCCGGGGGAAACCGTGCACTGTCGGGGGACAGAAGAGCGGCACCAGCACCGGGGGTGCCACTCCCACCCTGACATCCTCGCGTCGCGACACACCCAAAAGGGACAAGGAGGAGGGCGTCTTCCCATGGGCCTCTCGGGGCCCTCACCCAGCCCCAGGACTGTCAAGAGCCGTCTCAGGATGAGAAAGCGGTCGTTGGGAAGAGGTGCAGATTTCTGGGGGAGGCATGCTCTGAACAAAAATCACGACGTCGGACGAGGTTACAATTCGGCGGTTCAGAGGTGGGGTCCTGAGGGAGGAGGCTCTAAGGCCGAGAACCTCAACACTGAAGCTTCAGCTTGGGATCCACTTCCTGCCCACAGGCCCCCATCCTTCACGGCCCCACTTTTGAACGGAGGAGGAGGACGACGAGGAGGAGGAGGAGGAGAAGGAGGAGGAGGAGGAGGAGAAGGAGTTGGTGGAGGAGAGGAATAGGGGGAGGAGCAGGACGAAGAGGAGTAGGAGGAGGAGGAGAAGGAGGAGGAGGAGGAGGAGGAGGAGGAGGAGCAGGAGGAGCAGGAGGAGCAGGAGGAGGAGGACGACGACGACGAGCAGGAAATGGACGAGAGAGGAGATCCAGACAGCGAAGGGGCCGGCGGATGGGCTCCCCTCAGCTTTTTCCCCGCGCGGCCCCCGGACCTCACCCCGAGCGGTTACGGCCTGGGACTTTTGGTTGGCGTGCCGTCCCGCCGGCTCTGGCCCAACACGCTTCGGTGCGACACGCTACCCCCTTCCCGGTCCCCCAGCGTCAACGTTGCGCGCCCTTTCCAGCCTCCCGTCCCGCGGAGCGGAGCGACAAGCTGTCCGTTTGCAGGGCACAGCGTGTCGCCAGGGCCGCCGCGACACGCTGAGCAGAAGTTCTTGGCCGTACTTCCGATGGCGCTCGCGCGCGCGCGAGCGCGCGACCGCCAGGCAGCTTGCCGGACGCTGCAGGTGCAGCCCAAGGCTTGGGGGGAGGGCAGCCTTGTTTCTGGATCCGCCGAACTTGGGCTAATTTTCCAGTGCCTAACATTGTGTCGGAAATGCACTCCAACCGATGCGAGCAGGTAAGGTGGTAATTTCCGCCTCAGAAAAAAAAACAGGGCGGACATTTCCTCAAAGATGTGGCGGAAGCAGTCCCCTCCTCCATTCTGGATCGGCGAGGCAAGTCACAGTCATATCACCTGCGCAGCAGCCCGAACACGGAAAGCTTGCCGCGGATGGAGCGAGGAGGCGGGACCCAATTGATACGCTTTGGAGGCAAAACAGATAGCTCCCCCGCATTTCATCGGCGTCACCCCAACATACTTCTATTATATGTGCGTCGCCCCCAACAGGGGCGACGCCCGCACCGAGAAATCTTATAGTATATGCGTCGTGTTGGGCGTTGTCTGGCCACACCGCTCGGGAAACGATATACTACAAGATGGGTATACCATATGTTCGGGTCGGACGCGCGCCTCCAAGGAGGACATATAGTATTAGTATTTCCCTGTGCGTCCCATTTTACCTTCCGCCCTATCCATGAAACACTTGGCGAGTCTAAACACAAATACACTTATGGTGGAACCAACAGAAAGGCGACAGAACTGCGGCAGCTAATTCACTCGACGATCGCCCCCCACGTTGGAACTCGTCCCCCTCAGGCATCGAGAATGCCCTTGCGCCCTCCCCCCTGGACAACAACAGAGAGGACGGGTGTATGCTGGAGAGCCTTTGTGGCTTCGAGGTTGCGGGTGGGCCTGGAAGTGTTTGGAGCCTCCGTGGGAAAGCCAGCCACATCGTTCTCACCCCCGCCTCTATCTTCACCTCTGTTTCTGCCTGTGCGGCCGTTTCCTTCTCGCTTGCTGTTGCCCCCCTCATGCCCCTCCTCCTCGGACGCCTTCTCCGCACCGGCCGTCGCCGCTGCCTCCTTCTCCTCTTCCTTCTTCCCTTTTTCCCTTCCTCCTGCTGCCACTCCTCCTCCACACCCTCTTCCTCCACAGCCTTCTCCTCCTCCTGCCATACATTGATGCGTCAGACTCTGAAGCCACTGATTTTGGCTGAGATTTCGGATCACTTGGCTTTCTATGCCCATCCCCAACCTCCTCCTCTTCCTAGCCCTCGTCTCACTGGCTTACTCCTCATATCTCCTTTGTCGTCGTCGTCGTCCTCTTCCTCCTCCTCCTCCTCTTTCTCGTCCTCTTCCTTCCTCCTCCTCGTCCTCCTCCTCGTCCTCCTCCTCCTCCTCCTCCTCCTCCTCCTCCTCCTCCTCCTCCCTCTGCTCCTCCTTCTCGCGAAACCCCTCCCCCTTGGCAACTACCGCACCCCGCCGACGAGAGGTCCACCCCCTGCCGATCAACGACCGGCTCCTCCCCGAAGGCGCGCCGCCGGAGAGACACCGCGCCCGCTGCGAACTGGCGGCGAGGGGGCAGAAATAGTTGGAGTAGGCTTACACGCAGTTGGGCGCTGGCCCAAGTATCGTCGGCGTCACCCCAAGCTACTAATACTTAGTGTGCGTCGCCCCCCCAGGGGCGACGCCCGCACCGAGAAATCTTATAGTATATGCGTCGTGGCGGGCGCTTTCTGGTCACACCGCTCGGTAAACGATATGCTACAAGATGGGTATACGATGTGTTCGGGTCGGACGCGCGCCTCAGAAGCAATTAAGGAACCCCCCGGCGTTATCATTAGCACCGCGCCGTAATTAAATAATTATTTGGGGGGTTTTCGCCGAGCGATATGACCACGTGAGCTCTCTGGGGAGGGGGCCCCTGAGGGTCAAGGAGTTTAGGCGTGCTAGTCCCCAAGTGGTGGAGAGGGCGTGACCTTGCTGACCCATGTTATGCAAGTTGCTTCATGACATGCTGTAGCTGTCTTGGTTCAAGTGGGCGTGATTTTGCCCGCCCCTGTAGTTTCTCTGTAGGGGCGGTTCTGCGCCAGGCTTGCCACAGATGGCGGTGAAGGAGTCGGTGGGGCCCTGGATAGGGCCGTCACTGGACGCGTCCTTCGCGGCGCGCTCAACGTGGAATTTGGGGGATGTCCTGGAGGTCTCTTTGTACCACGACTCTGGGCCATGCGGTAAAGGCATCCTCGTGGTCACAGGTAGGGAGAAGAGACCACGTCTTTTCCGGGGCAGGTTTATGCGGGTACAAGATCCTCATTACTCATGGTGGGTATTCGAGTCCGGGAAGGTTTCAAACCCGTCCCTCTTCCGGGCCACCTCCGGTGCAGGCGATGACGACGAGACCAAGTACAGGAAGGAGGAGGTGACCCCTATCTGGGAATGGCGGGTCCTCAATGCCACAGGTAACCTCGACCTCTCCGAGACGGCCTGGATCAAGCAGAAGGACATCCAGGAGCTGAAGAAGAAGATCAACATCATTCGCGAGGAGGCCCTCTATGAACCTCCTCTTCCTCCTCCTGCGGATTCTCCCCCTGACCATGTTCGTCCAGAACACCGCGATGCTCGCTCTCCTGGAGGCCGGCCGCGTGAAGGAGATCCAGGAAGAGGAGATGAGCCAGGGCGGCCGCAGCTGCTCTCCCCACCGAAACGCGAGGGGGTCACCGGGGACCTCCGGGCGCTCCGGAGCAGCTTGGAGAGGCACGAAAAGGATCCCAACCGCAGGAGGGAGGAGGGCTCTCCACAGAAGGCCCGGAGATCCAGGTCCCCCCGCGCTCGGGACGACGACCGCCGGAAGGTACGAGTGCGGTCAAGGAGCCCTGCAGGACGCCCAAGCGATCGCAGGACCAGCACCAGGGAGGAGAAGGTTGAAGAGGAGAGGGCACGAGGATCCAATGCCAAGCAGGAGAGGAGAGGAGAAGGCAGGAGAGAAGACCGGCGCAGCAACTCACGCAGGCGCGCTGGACATGGGTTTGGAGGACAGGGTCGCCGTAGCCAGTCCCTTAGGAAGGAAAGGCGCAGCGAGGATAGGAGGAGGTCCAGGGCGAGGAGCCGAGGGCGGCGGAGCCGTCGGGGGTCCAACGACGAGCGCACTACATCCAGGTCTCCTTCATCGTCGTCGGTTTTTCCCACAGCCTCTTCGTCCATCAAGCGGAGCGCCCAGGCCCGCCTGATAAAGTTCTCCCGGAAGAAGCCCGGGAGGCTCGCGGCCAAGGTCCTGCAGAAGATGAAGGACCGTGTGGGCCAGGACGGAGAGGCCGCTACCTGGGACTCGATGGCCACGCCGCCCGCGGCCAAGAGCTATTTCATCAGGGTGCTCAAGGCCACGTGCGACAGCGGGAGCAAGCGCAACTCCCGCGAGATGGAGACGCTTTGCACCATCTTGGACCACCTCGCGCTGAACAGGTTTCGGGCGGCTGCGGACGTAGTCGCCATGCGCCTCAAGGCCGTCGAGCAGGCGAACATCGACGGGGACTGGAAGAGGGCGCAGTTTTTGGAGCTGATCGAGCTGGACTCGGCGACTCTTTTGGACAAGGAGGAGCAGGTCGCGATCACGGAGGAGATGAAGACCCACGAGAAAGCATCCCGGGCCCGGGGGGAGCCGTGGAGGAGCGAGTGGCAGCCCTCAGGAGACGGCTCCGGGAAGTCAGGCAGCAGAGGGGGCAGCAAAGGGAAGGACCCGAAAGGCAGGGGCAAGGGGAAGAAGGGCGGCCAGGACAGTTGGAGGAAGGGCGGCCACGACGGCCGTTACTAGGAGAGAAGGGTCGTGTACCTCGAGGGGCAGGTTTTGGTGAGGCGCTATCGGGCCTCTGCTTCTGCTCATCACGTCCCGAGTGGACCCAGCAGCTGAGGACATGCGCAGAGAAGATTCGCGACTCGTTGGACGCGGCAGTACTTCTCAGTTTTGGTGCCCTCTGCAGCCCAGGTCGCTTGGGGTCTTTCCGGTCACAGCTTGAGGTCATATGTGCACCTTCGTGGACATGGTCTGGAGCCCGACCCTGTCTGGATTTTTCCGTACCATCCCTACTTCTTCATTTTCTGCACGCTCGGGACCTTAGCCGGGTTCCGATTGTTCGTCACCCAGCCGCTTCTACATCTTCGCCGGCCGCCCCGAAAGATCTTCTACCCATCGACCCTTTTGCTGCCGTGGAGTTCTGGGTCACCGAGCTCTCCAAGACAATCGCCGGCCGGGTGGAGGAGCACCTCGTGCTTGCTTCAGCTACTCTGCTTAGCCTTAACTTTATGGCCTGTGCGGGCTGGACCGCAGTTCCGGTATGCATGGAGACGCTTCCTTGTTTGACTTCCGCCCAAAAGTCGTCCCTTCGGCACATTTGGAGCTCGACCGCCGATTTCCTCGAAGGAGGGCCCTGCCTTTTCTCATTGGGCTCGCTTCGGGCGGAGATGGAATCCCTTAGAATCGGATGCGGCGGGGAAGTTGTTTCACGTAGGCGCGAATTGGTGGCGGAGAAAGTATTACCTGCCTGGCCACCGCCTGGGAAGGCGTGCTTGGTGAAGGTGGAAGACTACGTGTCGGAAGAGCTCCGGGACGACCTGCTCGAGCCTTCCAGGTGCCTACTTCCACGGTGCGACTGGCCGACCGTGGCCCCGAAGTCCAAGGTGCATGCTTCGGACAGCGAGTGGTACTCGCTGGTTAAAGCAGGCGTCGAGCGCGGTATCTTTGGCGAGGTTCGGCCTGACGACGTGTTCAAAGACCAGCACGGGACCATGGTGCTAAATGGAGGTATGGGGGTAGACAAGTTTAAGGAAATAGGTGGTGTGACGCATCACTTCTTGCGGTTCATCTGCGTCTTCGTCCCCATTAACTCGTTCATGAGGCGTCTTCGTGGAGGCAGCGACGACCTACCGTACTTGGGCCAGATGTCTTTAGTATTAATGGAGCCTGGAGACATCTTCATGGTAGATTCTGAAGATATGGAAAGCTGTTTCAACATATTCGCAATGCCTCCGGCGTGGAATGGATATTTCACGTTTGAAAAACGAGTTCCGTCCTCCATATTTGGGCGGTCTGCCTCACAATGGTCCTATGTGTGTATGCGCGCCGTCCCGATGGGTTCCGTGATTGCGGTCGACCTCATGCAAGACATGGCCAGACGCCTCGTCTTCAACATGGTCGGAGTGGACAGCGCTACCGAGATCAACAAGCGGGCCCCGGTCTCTGACGGCGACGTGTCTGTGGTTTGCATGGATGGTTTTGATTATCTTACCAGGCTGAAGGGCATGGAGGCACTTGTGGAAGCAATTGAGCATGGAGACGTTTGTCTTCCTGAAGCAGAACAGCTTTGTGGACACCCGGATTCCGACGGAATCAATCCGGCTCAGGATGCATCTCGCCGGTTGGGGCGCAGCGAGGCCATGCAGAATTTTGTGGACGTTTGCGGTCAATGCAAGATTCCTTTGAATGTCGGCAAATCTCTGGTGAGAGGTCTTAGGGCGAGTATCCTAGGAGGCGAAGTCGATGGAGCAAGAGGGCGGCTTGTACATAGCCGGACCAAGGGGCACAAGGTGGTTTGCAAGACGGTCGCATTGCTGACAACAGACGAATGGTCCCAGGCCGCCATGCAACACTGGTGCGGTTTATTTTGTTTTGCAGCCCAATTCAGGAGGGTGCTCTTCTCCGTCCTTCAGGAGGTGTTCCACTACGTGTACGGTTTCAGCAGCCTGCTCGATCGGCGCGCCCCTCCTTCAGAGGTGCTGGACGAAGTCCTCCTTGGCACTGTCCTGCTAGTCTTCGCTTGGGCCAACTTGCGGGCCCCCATTCGGAGCACAATCAGTTGCACGGATGCCTCGGAGGAGGGGGGAGGAGCCGCTGAAGCCAAAGCGTTCGTGCCTGCACTGTCCAGGCAAATTGCGGAGCAAGCCCAGGATTGGAGTGCGCACCTCACGGAGGAGAGCTTCGAGGACGCCGGGGCCAGGGAAACGGTTACCGCAGACATCGGGCGCCAACTGTCTCAGGTAGCATGTTGCGCCGTATGTGGAGGCCACGCGCCTTCCTTCGATGCTTGGGCCTCCTGCCCGGCAGGGTGCCGGTCGAAGTGCTGCTGTCTGAAATGTTTGGGCGCTCATTGTCTCGTATGCGTTGGATGGCAATCCGTATCTCTATCTAGGTTGAGCTTTGCCGAAGGCTTCTGCGATGCTGATGCGAGGTTGACGTGGGCCATGGCGTCCAAGAGCGTGCCAGTGCTGCAACCGTACGGCTTTGCAAGGTGCCCCGAGGACGACTTCTTCACGGTCGCCGGCCAGGAAAAGCTCAAGGCGTTCGACGGCGCGACGGTCTTCTTCGAGCACTGGCGACCAGGACGCGCGCCTAGACGTTCGGAGTGGCCCCGGAAGAATCGTTCGTGCTTGCGGGGCCACGACAAGTTCAGGCTGAAACGCTGGGAAGACATATTCAATTATTCATTGACGAGGCTACAATGGAGGAGTACCAACTGGGGATTCGCAATTTTGGACGGCTATT